GCTCACAAAAATTTGGCATGTAAAAAAAAAAAACAACCAAACAAACCCAAACCAACAAAAAAACCCCCAGAACAAACTGCAGCCAACGCCAGCGGCCACAGGGCAGCCATGCACAGCCTTGGGCAGAGCAGTGGCCACCAGCAGAGCCCTGTGTGGCCCCAGGGCCATGCTCCAGCACCTCCTGCACATGTTTGGGTGTTTGGAGGTCACATTGCTCTGGAGGTCAGATGGGACTGGGGCCACAGTGCTGGGCAGGGTATGGCTCCCAGAAAGGCCCCTGTCCCACCTCATGGTTGCAGGCAGCCAGCTGTCCCTGGGGTCTCCAGGACAGGATGGCACCAACCCTGCAGACAGCTCTACACCTCCTCCTCACCCAGCGCAGGGGTCTCATCGTTTCTTCACCTTCTCTGCTCCAAGAGGGAGACGGGAAACAAAAGAAAATCCATGGTCAGTGTCTGGGAGCACACGGGTCCCAGGGAAAACACACCCGCATGTCCTGGAGTCTGTTTCAGAGCCAGCATCCAGCATCACACCCAGCAGTGCCCAGTGGACCACACCACCATCTACCCAGCTGAAGGAAAAGCCAGGTCCTTGCATGATGGGAGGGACAAAGCAGGGGATGGCACCTCCCTGACACGGGCAGGGCTTTGGGATGATCATCTCTGCAGTGCAGTGTCTGAGAGTGAGCAGAACAACCCAGCAACCCCAAGAGCCCTGACCAAGCGACCTGGCATGGAACAAACCCTCAGGAGCAGGGCCCTGAGAGAGGGGCAGAGCAGCTCTGCACTATCCCCAGCTGTGCTGAGGATGCTCAGTGCAGGACAGGGCAAAGCCTGGAAGTGCTTCTCTGCCGTCCAGAAGACAGAGAACCACCACTCCTCAAAGAAACCACAGTGTGCAACAATACACCTGAGCGAGACTGGTGGGCTCTGGTGAGCCTCACCCTTCCCAGACAAGGTTTCAGGGCTGAATCCAGCCGTAGGAAGGAAGGGGACATCTGCACCAAACAGGGAACACATCTGAGCCATATCGCTGCATCGCGGTGAGACTGCGCTAGGTGCCACAGACCCTAAGGGTCCCTCCCGTGCCCAGCCCTGCAGCCACTCCCCATCCCCAAGGGCCTGCAGAGCCACTGCCCCGGGCAGCAAGCACCCAGGGGATGGACAAGGCAGCCCTGACACGCTCCCGGACACCGGCCAGCCCTGCCCGTCCCGCAGGCCTGTGCTCCCGGCGCCGCTGTGCGTGGGGGAGGCCCCGCTGCCTCCCCAGTGGGAAGGCGGCCCCCGGTTCCCGCTGGGCGGACGGCAAACAGAGCATGGAATTTGCACGGCTAAAAGTTAAATACAACACACACACACGGATTTTGTCAGAGGCCCTGGCACGGCTGCCTTCGCGGGATCCGATTAACGGGGAAATAAAAGGGCCAGAGAACCCACACAGCAGCGTGAACAGATGCCCTATAAAAATCAAATACACGGGAATCAAGGGGACCAAAAGGTACATTTAAAAAAACAAAAACCCACCCTGGAAACAAAGGAGCTGGGCTTTGTGGCTTTCCTGGGAGGGCTGCGGAATTAATGGGGAAGAGTACATGTGTTTGATAATCTTTATATGGCAAAAGACCCATCTTTCAAATATGTCACAAATTCATACTAATCACCTTCCTATTGCCTTCTGTGGCGCAGCTATTCCGGTTGCCTTGGGCAAAATTGGGAACTGTCTGGTTAAAAAAAATGTTTTACATTATAATTTACAAGAGCCTACAAGTCTAGTTTCTTTTAATGGAAAGAGCGATTAAAAAAAAAAAAGGAATATATATACACCCTGGTATATATACACTATATATATTAAAAAATATATATATATAAAAGACAGATATTGTAACTCCATCTGGAAAGGGAGAATGTTTGATCTTAACAATGTAACTTCTAGCTTTCAAACAGGCTCAGAAAACAAGAAGTCAGCAGGAGTTCAGATAAAGGAAGCTTAAAAGTCAAATAATTCTGACTCTGAACCCGAGACTTCTTAGACTCAAGGTCCTTTCCTTTACCCATTAATGGGCTGACTTGTGAGCTCAGGAACAAAGTGCTGCAATGTGAGGATTTCTGAGAGTCACTCATTACAGATCACTGAGTGGAGTCTGAGTTGCAGAAATCAAAGGATCCAATCTGGAGTAACTGGCTGAACTTCTGCTTGGAACTAATTTGTTCCGAGTTCGGCTCACCTTTCACCTCCTGAAGGCCCCGAGTAAAGTCCCTACGGGGGTCAGCGGCAGACAGCACTGGGGGGATCCCAGCTCGGCTTTAATGGTCAGCAATGGGCACCGCGGCCCCTGGGAGAGGGTGGACAGGCAGCTGGTGTGGGAGGGACACAGTGGACACGGCAGGGCACAACAGTGCCGGGCTTCCCGCTGCCCCATGGGGTCTTGCTGCCAAAACGGGCAGACCCCTCTCCTAGCCTGGGTTAAAACACCTTGCTGAGACGTCCCCCATCCCCACTGCTGGCCAAGGCGGTGGCGGCAGCCCTTGGTTGCCACAATCAGTATCTCAAGACCCTGGTGTGCCTTTTCCCATCCGTTCCAATTCCTGGAAAGGAATCCAGGCATGCTGGGCAGGGCTCAGGAGTCAGGACTCCTAGTCCTGTTCCTGGCTTTGCCACTCACTCCCTCCAACATCTGGAGCATGATACTTCTCTCCAGGGAAACAAATCTGGCTTCAGGGGAGCAGCTGGTTTGGAGGCTAATCTAATCCATGCTTAATCCAACATGTGGAGTGCCATGGACAGGCAGTGCCAGACAGCACAAAGGGATTCTCCAATTCAGAGGAATTTGCAGCAGGGAGATTAAATGATTACCCCAAGGGCCCCCAGCAGCTCAGTGGCAAAGCACAGAGCTGAAGTTCAAGGCTGGTGTGGCAGGGCTAAACCACTGAGGCAGCCTCAGCAAGGGGAAGGGCAAGGTGCCACCTGCAAGCACCCATGGCCAGGGCTGCTAGAGACAAAGGAGGGAAAGGCCACTACAAAGCATCGCTGGGCTCGTTCTGCAGAGAGCTGCTTGCTTGCACTACCAGTATCGCTACCCCCGCTGCAAGCGCCGTGTCTGCAGAGCCAGGCTGCTTCCTCAGCGCCGTGTCCTGGGCCTGCTGCCTCCATGGCACCAGGGCCTGGGACACCTCAGGGTTATCACTGTGCAGGGTGGGGACACGTGCCTGCACCCCACCAGCCGAACAGCCAGCAACTGCCCCAGCCATCCCCTGCTCAGAGCTGACCCCAGCTGCTGATCAGGCAGAGGCCCGTGTGAGCCACGACACTGAGCGAGAGGCACTGGGGCTGCTCCTGAGAGCACTGCCAACACACGGCCTCTGCTCTGCTCAGCTCAGCCCATCCTTGGAAAAGCTGCTCGTGGCCCACAGGCTGCTGGTGTCTCCCACCACCACGTTGCCCAGAACCACAAGAAAGGTTCAGGGCAAGTGCAGCACCAGGCCTTGCCTGACTCTCCAAACATACCTGAGCCAGGCAGAACATGGTACAGCAGCCCCATTCCTCTCCTCTCCAAGATACCCCTCCAGCTGGGATGTAATTTCACCCCCCTCAAAAGGTAGCATAAAATGGTCACAGTGTGAATGTGCTTGACCTTTTGTCTTGGACTAATCTAATTGTGTCGTCTTTGTGTAATCAGCCGGTAAAGGTCAGTGCTGTATTTAACATGGGGGCCCTTTAGGTACTGAATTTGCCTTGCAGTGAATTAACTTGATTATATTTCTTTCAAATATGTCAGAGACCAGGTCAGTTTAACCCTCTCTGTGCTGCCTTGGCCCACCCCTTTGTTTCCAGTTCCGGGAGGTGGCACTGAGGAACAAGGTGGTCAGAAACACCTGGGCTTTCTCCTCCTGCAGTCATGGCCACCACCACCACCTCTCCCACCTTCCCAACAATCACAGTCTCAAGGGACAGCGAGTGTGTCATGAATCAGCCCAAAAAGTTTGCAAACCAGGACAATGGGAACCGCAGGGAGGGGTGAGATTTCAGATGGAATGCAGTAGGGAAAAAAAAATTCAGAAGACTCCTTTGCAAACATGAACCTGTCTCAGTGGAACGCTTCCTTATGACTCCATATTGTCACAATCAAATAGGACATTAGTCAAGTCCAGATTAACGTGTCGCCTCTGCTGTTGACAGATAAGGTGTTCTCGATATCCTGCAATACGTTACACATTTTAGAAAGTAAAGGTCTGTGCTGCTACCAGGGGCAGTATGTCTAGAGGCGTCGGGGATGCCACTGTGTGGAGACGGGCAGCTTTCATCAGGCAGGTCAGCTCAGCTGTGCCAGGGGACTGCGCAGAGGGGAAAGCAACCTCAGCTGATCCTCAGGCACCCCCTTGGCCCTGAGGCAGTGGTGAGGGGCTGGGCAGCCTGCCCTCAGGGAGGCAGGGAGGAGAGGCTGGTGATTCGCATCCTGCAGAGGTACATGCACAGGAGATGGTCACTGTGCACGTGGAAGAACCCCTAGGCCTGGCTTTCCTTTCTCAGCACTGGAAGTAGGGCATAAAAACATCCCTTTGCTCTTCAAACACCTCTCTCCTTCCCAAGCCTCCTGCAGGCAGGGCTACTGCTTGACTTCAGGGACTTGGGCAGGTCATGGCTCATCATCTCAAGACTGCTTTCCCCACTCGCTTCCCTCTGCTGAGCAACCCTTATGGCTGTGTCTAGAAGGAAAATGCCTCAGGCCTGAAGCTGTATTGGCATCGCTGTTGCTGCCCCAGTGCAAGCTCTCGTCACCCAAAGGTTTGCTGCTTTGGTCCACGGTGGCACCCACGTCAAGCCATCTACCTGCATGCAGGATGTAGAAAGCCCTGCTGACCCCATCTATAGCACCAAGAACACTGTCCAGCTCAGAAGACAAGCCCAGAGAGCAGCACTGGGACTTGGGGGGGAACAGGCGTGCGGTGCTCCCTTGGACATGCACGCCCGGAGGGAGAGCAGGGCAGCATCCCCAGCGCTTGTCAGGGCATCTGCGTCGGAGACCTGAGTGCGCCCTGTTCTGCCCCTGCAACCTTCCTTCTCACTGAGTTGGGGGTCAGTGGTGCTCCTACTACATCAATGATCTGGTCCTTGGTATCTCCCTTGCCCTCCTCGATGCCGAGCCCTGCCTGGCCATCTGGATGGGCACCTTCTGTACTGAGGGGGCCAATACTACCAGCTTTGGCCAAGGCCTCATAGCGGTGTCGTAACATCTGCAGCTCATATTCGCAGTTGGCAAAGGCTTGCTTCAGCTCATACAGCAGCACCAGGTCGCTCCGCAGTTCGTTGAACATCTGCACGATTTCCTCTGTGGGCATAGGGTTGAGATCTAGGGAGAAAAAGGGGTTCTGTTAAACACCCAGACCTGCAACCTTACAATGGAAGATCCCTAGAAAGGACCTGGATGCCCACTCACTTCCATAAAGATAAGCCAGGAGCCTCACTCCCATCACATGGATCATTAGCAACCAGCATCCCTAAAGGTTGGAGACCTGAATTTCCAGGCTGTCCTTTGGCTCTGGCCAAGGACTAAGGGTGAATCCGCAAAGTCCATGACTCAGCAAATGAATGATGATAGAAGATGCAGATCAGACCAGATAACTGAACCTTGCTACACACCAGGTCATACAAAGGGAGCTCAGTCTTGGGAACAAGTCCTCATACACTGCTGCAAAGGACAGAAGAGCTCATGTTGTCCCCTACACCTTCGCCAACCAGGGTTGGACAGGCTGAGCTGCCTTGCCTCTCTTGTTGCTCCTTCCAGGGTAGAACTGAGGCAGAGAATTGCTCTGCTGCTGTGTTACAGACATGTTTTAATGCAGACCTGAACTGCTTGTAGCAGGGGCTGGCAGATCACCTCCACACACCATGCATTCTGCTACAGCCCATCACATACACACAGAGCCAGGAAGATCTGAATGTTCTGGCGAAGAAAAGGATGAAGCTCTGCACATTTGTCCAGCAGTGGCCCCTGCCCGCAGGGCTGCCCACATGACACCTCCCTGCTATAAACCCTGTCCTTGCTATAAACAACACAGCGCTGTGTTCACCCACTCAAAGCCCAGGCCTGTTTCTGCACTCTAAGGCACAGCAGGAGCACCAGGAAGCCCCCACATAAGGCAGGGGTGGCGAGTCAGGAACCTCTCCTTACCCTTGTGGAAACTGAGCTCTAAGAACCACTCACACCCTTCCCCAAGGCTTCCCTAGCAGGAAAGACTAAACCCCTTGGTTTTAAAGCAGAAAGAAGAAACCACCCTGGCTGAGCTGCTTTCACCAGCCACAGGAGGCCTTCACAACTGCACATAGTCTCCGAGACAATATATCAAGCCATAAACCAGTTGGCCCAAAAAACTAACAAGACTTAACAGAAGCCAGTGCTGGGAGCAGACTCGGTAACCTCTTGTAAATCACTAATGAGGGTTTTTTTTCTTCTTCTTCTTTTCTGTTTTTAAAAATCCCCCCAGCCACAGTGGAGGAAAAAGGGATCATCAGGTGTCTAATCAAGGGGCACTGCATGCTGGGACCTGTAGTACCTGCAAACTGTACCCACGGCATGGAGGGCAGCAGCTAGCCATGGGCTGCACTTCTTCCCCTCTAGCTACGAGTGAGTGTTGTACGTATTAACTGAACCCTTCTTTCTGCTGCTAAGACACTGGAGTTCAAGAGTGAGGGATGTGTGTTTACTCGCCTTTCAGCAGAGATGCTCCAGATTTTCACGCAGCATGCAACCTATAAAGGGGGGATGAACAGTCCCAGACGCATTTTGGACTTGACACCATGAGCAGTAAATTAAGAGGAAACGAAGCTTGAAAGCAAGACAGGGCAGCCCTGAACAATGTGCGTGCCGTGGTCACTAACACACTTAGAAGTACCTCTCCTGGCAAGGCTGAGATTTGCCTTCCTAATACTGTGCTGCCTCTCTCGATGGTTAAAAAGGCCCAAACAAGAGAGAAACAAAGGCTCTTTCAAAACATTTTTCTACTGGGAGGAAAAAAAAAAAAAACCCTGTGCATCTTGTTCTGGCTTTTACCCTCTCTCTCTCTTTCTTTTTTTTTAAACGCATTAAATATTTTAAAAACCATTCACATACTGTTATTCAAGAAACTGGCTGTATTACTAGGGGAAAAAATAGCCCATCTCGAGAACAAAAGCTAGCTCTGTGTGTATCTTTCTCTCTCGCGTGCCCCCTTTACTCACCTACTCCGAGTTCCATCAGCATCTGCTCCAGGGCTTTAATCTTCTTCTGTCCCACCGAGCTTGGCAGTTTCATCTGGAACACAAAGGTAACAGAGCCACACAGCTCAGAGATAGCCCTCACTCACAGCCGTCTAGTTCAAAAGGCAAGAGAGCTTTTCTTTTTATAGTGCAGGGGGAACAAAAAAAGAAAGGGAGAGAAAGGAAAATCAAGTGGTAAGAGAGGGAGACAGGGGCTGAAAGTTTTCAGACTAGGTCCGAGGGCACGTATTGAAAAGCCCGGTCGTGAGGGCTTTTATTTTCTCTCTCGTGTGTGTGCAAGACACGCTGTTTTACAGTTTCCATGTGTCACTGAATTAACAACAAAAGTTCTTCTTGGCTTCAAACCCTCTCCCGCGGTGCCCAGCCCATCAAAGGGCTCATTTACACAGTGGCTAATGTGCAATGCTGCCCTACTTTATTCGCTTTAGCCGGCCTGATTAGACTCATGCGCTAACAGACTCACTTCTCCTTTTACCTGCTGAGCCCCAGACCTGTGGGATTCATTTACAGAGCAGGCTTTATAACAAAGGGGAGAGACAGAGAGAGCACAGTTACTTGACTGGCGGAAGTGTGAACACACATTTACATCGGAGCTAAGGGGCTAGGTGAGAGAGGAAGCATCAGATGTGAGCTATGAAAGGGAATCGGAGCTGGCCAGGAGAAGAAGAATGCATACACTTAGTGGGGTCCTTCCTCTGCATTCATTTGGGCTCTAGCAGGAGTGCTAGCTGCTCAGACCAAGCATTTATTAGATTACAAGCAGCACAAACGCAGCTGGCACAATATGCCAGGGAGAAAGAGGTTTCCAAGCCCTGCAGATATATCCAAGAACAAATGAAAGCACTCTCCTTCCTCAGCAATGCTAGAAGACAGACCAGGAAAGAAATTATTCACAACACTGCAGTGTCAAACACCTTGCTGCACACAGTGGTAGGCTGTCCCTCCAAACCAAGCCACGGGAAGGTGAGCTCACACCTCCACCTGGGATCACCACCACCAGCCCAGCAGGCCACTGAATAGCCAAGAGCATCCTGCAGCCATCCTGCACACCACTTACTGATCAGTAGCCCCAACCTTGGCCAAACCAACCATGAAACTGCAACACTGGGCTGGGAATGACCTGAAGGAAGAGCCATTCTTCACCTTAAAACTGGCCTCTGAGGTGAGCTCACCAAAGGGTCCCATGGTCACCTTACTTCCCATAAGCCACAGGTTTAAGTTCCCCAAAACAGACAGCCCACTGCTAGTATCCCAAATTAGGCAGATCTTTTCCACTTCACTGTCCCAACACCAAAATGACAGTAAGAGACACCATTTGAAACTTCTTAACTCCTCTGAAGGCAGAAGCACTGCATGCACATACCCAAATGGTGAAAGCACTAACCTTAACTCAGCTACAGCTGAGTATGTCCCACCAGGAGTTCCACAATCCCAATGCAGGACCTGCTGGGAACCTTCTCCATCCCATTTCAGCCAAGAAACCGGAGCGCAGATGCCACAGGGCACCCCAGGGGTACAGGTCTCTCACAGTACATGCTAAGAAGTGCCTAGTCCTTTTGCTGGGTATTACCTGATCCAGGGGATCCAAAAGGAGCACTAGGGAAAAAGGAAAACCCACTCTCGTGAAAAAGTCAGCACTGGTTGGGACTAGAGGACACCTCTGTCCTTTTTTAAATCCTGAGAGTCTTTGGCTGAGAGCTGGGGTTTCTGCATAGCAGTGAATCTCATACTTCAGAGACTGAATCTTTACACTTGACCAGAAAATGATTGTTTCAGCAGAGGAAAGGCTGCCAAAGGTATCAGGTATTTGGATTTCCGTCAAGTCTTTGGTTCAGAGTCTCAACTTGAGCAGAACCTCACTAAAGTAGGCTTTCCCAGGAGCTCTGCAGCACAGACTATCTGCACAGGCTCTGCTGAAAAGCAGCAGGGCTGGGGAGAGCCCTAAGACAAGGCAATGTGAAGCACTGGGACAGGAGTTGGCTCTGGCTATTTGGCAGGTGCTATGCTGCAGCTAGCAGTGGGATGCCAAGGAAGGAAAGGTCACTTAGCACAGCTTAGCACGAGACAGAACAGTTAGCCTGGAGCATCAAGAAGACATTCCCAAGAGCAAGAGGCCTTGGTCCAGAGAACTGTTCTGCCCCATGAGGAATCACACAGAACATTTTAAAATGGACAATGCACCCAGCTCTGCCTCAGTGTATGGGCTGACCCTGACCTGGTCAGGCTGTGCTATCCTTAACTTCTAGGACACAAAGGGTTAACAGAGCCCAGCATCTCCTCATTGAATACTTATGTGATCATCAAAGCCCTGAGAGTCTGTCTTCACTCCTGCCCTAACATCAATATCATGGTCTTTCTAGCTAAAGGCAGGGTGCCCTTCTGTCAAACAGCAGCTGGCAAAATCATGCTGGACTTCAGGAACAAAGGACAAGAGATAGGAAAAGTTCATGCTTGGCTAGGCTAGGCGGACAGGCAGGAGGTCTTGGATTCTTGGTTAGAGGAAGAGCACAAGCTTTTCTCCTGGGAGGCTTCCACTAGCTCAAGGAACTATTGGCAACTCAAACGATTAAGCTGGCAAAGCCTTCAACTGTAATGTGTGTGTTCTGCTCATGTCCCACAGGAGTCTGGTCAATGAATACCAAGCCAAGGTCTTCGCTGCCACCCCTGAAGATTAGAGGATGGAGCAGAGAAAGGCAGGACAAATTAATTTAACTTCAAAGAAAGGAACACTAGAGATGCTCAGGAGGAGTGGGGCTGTGAGTTTAGCTTAAAAACACATCAATTAAGTTTCCTTTTAATTCAGGCAGGAGATCTGGCCCGCAAACAGGAAGGCTTCATTGGTTTCTCAAAGCAAGAGTATATTTTAATTTTACCATCATTAAGAAAATGTTATGATTTATGTGGCTGCTGTCGGACTAATATCTTTAGAATTTAGCTGGCTAAGCCAATTCATCTCTAAGACTGATGAAGGCTGATTGCTCTCTATGCAAAATGTATTAAAACTAAATGAGCAGTCTATTACTCAAATGCTGCTGATAATCTGTTAGCCAAGGTCCGTTAGCTGGGCCGCCTTGTTGCAGGAGAGAAGCCTTCGTGCCCTGTACAGCTCTGAGAAGCCCAAACTTACTTCAGCAAGCCCTTCTTTGTTTTGGTCTTTTAAGTAGATGTCCAAAGATGCACCAGAGCGCTGGAAGTGGTGTATCACCCATCCTCACTCCTGAGCAATGAGGCAATCCACAGGGACCACAGAGCCCAGCCTAAAGCACAGAGAACAGCTCTCTGGCCCACGATGTGTGTGCTGGGATATGTGGTTCCTGCAGGTCATATCTCTGCGCTAACAAAAACAACACTCAGGGCAACCTCGTTGCTTACACCACAGCTCCTGGGATGTTCTTGGTGTTGTCATGGATCGAGTCCTCCACAGGGGCTGAGGAAAATTATGTTCCTCGGAGAACTCCAGTGAGCAACCACAGTTTCTGAGGTGAATGGCATTTGCCCTTTTCTTTCCTTCCCTATACTAGACTATTATTGTTATTTATTATCTTGAAAGTCCCCATATAATAATACCTGGGAAACAGATTGCCCCAGTCAGAAAACTGATTAGCTGGGATTTTTGAGGTTACTATATTTTGGATGCTCTTCTCCTCTGACAGCCTCTCCCTACAGCCCTCTTTGCAACACCAGCCTGCGCTTATAATTACACCAACGCCGCTTTTGATTTAAGGACTGCGATCCTTTGTCCTTGCTATAAACAACCTGCATTAAACACATGAACTGTGTGTACCAAGAGAAAAATAAATAAAGAGCTACAGAAAATTGTGTGAATCAACACCAGGAAGCCACAGTACCAGAGCCTACCTATGCAGAGAGCCTTGCCTGATCCTGGGACACACAGCCTGTGCTGGCAGGCGCCTGGCTGGAGAACATGGAGTATGCTGGTACCGACCTGCTCTGCTGTCCCCTGAAGGAGGAGGGCATTGCTGAGGAATTGAACCGTTGGTACCGACCTGCTCTGCTGTCCCCTGAAGGAGGAGGGCATTGCTGAGGAACTGAACCGTTGAACAGGCTTAAATAGATGAACAGAGCATTTCACGGCAGGGGTTTAGCGACTGGGGGTGGCTCCAAGCAGCTCGATTTCAAGGATCTCACTACAGTGTACCCTTGAGGTTTTGAATGATACAGGATTTTTATTTAATGCTCAAGACATTCTGCCAACAAAACCTTGCTAATTCACACTAATGACTAGGAGAACTACTGCAAATTAATTGCTAATTGGCAAAATTCATTAAATGAACAAACACGATAAGAAATAACTGAAGATAAAGCCTCCCCAAACAGACTTGGTTCATTCATTTTTGTGTGCCATTCAGTTTTCACGATATATGCCAATAATTTTAAGCATAGTTGTAAATGTATTTGAGTGTATTTTAGTAGAGTAACGAAGTTTAAGTAATAGCAGAGCTTGCAACACAGTCCCCTGCCACGTCTTACAGCATCACCACCTGGCAGGTAGAGATCTCCCTGGGGATCTGCACTAGGAATGGGAAGGTCTGCAGGATCTACAGACAGAATCAGCTAGGTTGACACGTGTGATTGTATCTATGTGGTCATCTTAAATGTCCTGCTTTCAAATTAACATTCTCTTCATAAATGCTCCATTTCTGGTGCTCACAACTTACCCAGAAAAATCTCACTTTTGTGCTAAAAACTTTTGTTTGATCTCTCACCAAAATACAAAGGTCTTAAAATTAATCAATGGCTATTTGAATATTTCACATGTGTCCTCCCTGATGCTACACTTCATTTTAATTCAATTTTGAGACAGCCTTTTCCTTAAAGCTCCCCAACCCTAAACAATATGACTGTCCTAAAACCATTAATCCTAAAAACTCCACACATATGACCTGTGTCTGTACAGCTATAAACTGTGGGTTTATGCACCAGCACCAGTATTGTTGTTCAGCATTATAATACAGCTCACTGACATTGAAAACCACCTTCTTCGTGGATTTCAGCAGCAAGAAAACTTTCTCA